TGTTCATACCCTTACACACATAAATGTGTGTGTGTGTGTATATATATATATATATATATACTAGAACCACGCGCGCGCTTCGCGCGCGCTTAGGTTCTGTCGAGTCACAGACCCAGGAATCGTTGTGAGAAGAAATTGGTGACGCGAAGCGTCGTGGGGGCGTCCTTGGACGTCTGGGGTCTCCTGGGGCCTCTTGAGGGGCCTCCTGGGGGCCTCCTGGCGGCCTCTTGGGGCGGAAGGCTCGAGCTTGCGGTTCGTGGTCCCCCTCTGGGCCCCCTCTTGGGCCCGTCTTGGGGCCCTCTTGGGCCATCTTGGGCGCCTCTTGGGCCGTCTTGGGGCCCTCTTGGGCTGTCCTGGGGCCCTCTTGGAAGCTTCTTGGGCCGTCTTGGGGCGGTCTTGGGCGCCTCTTGGGCCGTCCTGTAACGTCGGAAAGCCCAAAAGGCGACTTTGTGAAAAATGTACGTTTTACGAAGGGAATGGGTCAATTTTTGCGTCTAGGGGCCCTCTTGGGACGCATGTTGGAGGCTTCTTGGGGCGTCTTGGGGGCGTCCTTGGACGTCTGGGGTCTCCTGGGGCCTCTTGAGGGGCCTCCTGGGGGCCTCCTGGCGGCCTCTTGGGGCGGAAGGCTCGAGCTTGCGGTTCGTGGTCCCCCTCTGGGCCCCCTCTTGGGCCCGTCTTGGGGCCCTCTTGGGCCATCTTGGGCGCCTCTTGGGCCGTCTTGGGGCCCTCTTGGGCTGTCCTGGGGCCCTCTTGGAAGCTTCTTGGGCCGTCTTGGGGCGGTCTTGGGCGCCTCTTGGGCCGTCCTGTAACGTCGGAAAGCCCAAAAGGCGACTTTGTTGAAAATGTACGTTTTACGAAGGGAATGGGTCAATTTTTGCGTCTAGGGGCCCTCTTGGGACGCATGTTGGAGGCTTCTTGGGGCGTCTTGGGGGCGTCCTTGGACGTCTGGGGTCTCCTGGGGCCTCTTGAGGGGCCTCCTGGGGGCCTCCTGGCGGCCTCTTGGGGCGGAAGGCTCGAGCTTGCGGTTCGTGGTCCCCCTCTGGGCCCCCTCTTGGGCCCGTCTTGGGGCCCTCTTGGGCCATCTTGGGCGCCTCTTGGGCCGTCTTGGGGCCCTCTTGGGCTGTCCTGGGGCCCTCTTGGAAGCTTCTTGGGCCGTCTTGGGGCGGTCTTGGGCGCCTCTTGGGCCGTCCTGTAACGTCGGAAAGCCCAAAAGACAACTTTGTTGAAAATGTACGTTTTACGAAGGGAATGGGCCAATTTTTGCGTCTAGGGGCCCTCTTGGGACGCATGTTGGAGGCTTCTTGGGGCCTCTTGGGGGCGTCCTTGGACGTCTGGAGGCCATCTTCAGCATCTCGGAGCCCTCTTGGAGGCCTCTTGGAAGTTTCTTGGGCCGTCTTGGGCGCTCCTGGGGCCGTCTTGTCTGACCGGGGAGGCCTCCGGCAAGCCCCGACGAGCCTCCGGGCCCCCCGGAGCCCACATTTGTGGTCGGGGTCCCGGCCCCGGGCCCCCGGACCCGGTGCGCCGTTATATATATTATATATATATATATATATATATATATATATATATTTATATATGTACGCTGCACACACATACAACAGTGTAAGTATATTGTATACACCTAGAAATTTATACGGAACGTGCATGCACGTGCGGGTGTATACATGCATGCGCGCATGTACGCACGCACGCATTCCGCATGCGTGCAGAACTCAAAGGACCAAGGTGCATGGCGCGCAGCGCCAATGCAGTCTTGTATATATGTATATGTATATATATATATATATATACACATATACATACTACATACTTACACACGTACATACATGTAGATCATAAACGTGTATAAACGTACGTTTTTTGAGCAGGCGCTCCCTCGCCAATGGTCACTACGCTCCGACGCCCCTCTGAACCCCCAGTATCGTTTCCGAGGACAAGCACCGCGGCCCCAAGGAACGCAACGCCTCGTTCGAGAGCATTCGGCCCGAATCGGGGGGCCCTCCACCGACCGCGTCGGCGGGCCCCCAAGGGCGGCCCCTGACCGCAAGCCGCCCTCTCCCGAAACGCTGGGGGGGACGCCGAATGTAGCCCGATTTCCCCACACGCTGGCCCAACGGGCCGCTCTTCAGCCCCCCCCCCCGTAGTTCCACCCCCCACCCTACTGGCCACGAAGCCGGACCTATTGTTAAAAAAACCCTCTGCCTCTGACCGTGCCTCTTCTCCCTGCAACCCGCACCCGGTCTCGGGGTGATCGGGGCGAGGGCTGTCGAGGGTGGGTCGGGAGCGGGCCGCCGCCTCTCGCCTGCGAGCGGGCTCCGAAAGGTGGGGCGGGTGAGAAATAAGTCTTAACCTCTCGCCTGCAACCTGAATCCTTTCAGAACACCACCAACACCTGTGGCCACGACGTCCCTGGCACGCTCACGCAACAGCTGTGCCTCGCCGAGAACGGGGGGCCGCCGAAACGGCCAAGGACAGGCCAGGACCCGCAGGAACGACGTAGCACCTCACAGGCCACCGTTGGTTTCCCCATGGGCGAACCACGGCAACCCTGTGCCGACCCCGAAGCAGCTGCGCCAAGCCGAGAGCGGGGGGCCGCCGAAACGGCCCAGGACGGGCCAGGACCCGCAGGAACGACGTGGCACCTCACAGGCCACCGTTGGTTTCCCCATGGGCGAACCACGGCGCCCCTGTGCCGACCCCGAAGCAGCTGCGCCGAGCCGAAAGCGGGGGGCCGCCGCATCGCCCCGCGACGGCCCAGGACCCCCACAGGGACGCCGTGACACTTTACAGGCCAACGCTGGCGTGCCCATGAGGCCGTCAGGTAGAGGACCTCGGGGGGCGGGGCGGGTGAGAAGGAGGTGCTGGGAAACGAAAGCGTTTGCACACACACACACAGAAGGACATGTACTACACTAGGGCAATTCGGAGAAAATGCGCAGCGATCGAAACCCCTGTCGGACGAGCGTCGCCCGCGCATCGCCACGCTGGACCCGCGCGAGGTCAGCTAGCGCATCCTCCACATATGTACGGGCCGCGAGGCTGCTGGCCCAACGCCCACAAACCAAGGTGAGCTCCGTGCTCTTGGTCCGCAGGAAACACTCTGACGCGCCGCCGCGGCGGCAGCTGTGCCAGCTGAACGGGCATTGGAAGCCGAGGCCCTCCACAAGCGCTGCGACGGCCGCCCGCAGCTGGCGCGGCGACCGTGTGCTGAGCCTGTCACCATCGCCCAGGCCGCGCGTGACAAACCGCAGCAGCTGGAGAGCGATCGGCGCCCTGATGACGACCGCCTCCGCTTCGTCGCGCCCCGCTGAGCCCTTGGACGAAGCGATGCGGAGGACGGCGCACTGGCCTCGAAAAGCCACGTCGCCCCTGCGCAGCGCGAAGGCCTCGCCGCCGCGCAGCGGGCCCTCGAAAGCAACCACGAGGAGGCGCGCAACGTCGACGGAGCCTGCCTCCAGCGCTAGGCCAGCCATGGCCCCGGCGATCTCGGGCGCGAACGGGAGCGCGCGTGCCGCGGGCTCTCTTCCGCCAGGTCTCCAGCAACGCCCAGCTCAGATCCAAGCGGCGCCTGAGACGCGGGCTGAAGAAGCACGCGCCCGCCACCGCGTTGCTCGCCGTCGCGATGCCCGCGCCCGAGGCCCAGAAGACTTCCGGGTACCCCGAGACGTGCGCGTCGGCGCCCTCGCCCTCGTGGCCCAGCGCCTCGACGCCGTCTCCCGCGACGCCGCGGCGCTCCGGCAGGCGGCCGTCCGCGGCGGAGCACCGGCGCCTCGTCGCAGCGCCCACGCGGAACAGGAACAGCGACTGAGCCCGCAGGGCGCCTGGTCTCAGCCGAGCACGCGCGGCGGGGGGCCCCCGCGGCGCGAGAGCAGCAGCTTGGGCGGCCTGGGCGCGGCGGTCCTCCACGCCGCAACCTCCTCGACGGTTCGTCGGCGGGGTTGTCCTCCGACGCGACGTATATAGCCGACCGCCGCGACCGCGCCCGCCTGGCCAACGCGGGCTGGAGGCGGCGGCTGCTGCCCCTGCCCTTCGTCGCAATCGCCGCGACCATCTGGCTGGCGACGAGATGGATACGGCGCCGACTCGCCTTGCGGGCGCGCCGCCGCAGCGCCGCCGCCGCCTGCAGCTCTCGGACATTTATGCGGGCGCTCTTGGCCGCGGGCCACGCCGTGCTCAGCACCGCGCGCACGGATCGAGGCTTGACCGCGGCCACCCGCGTGGCCTGCGCAAGGCAGGCCGCAGCCCGGGCGCGCGTCGGCCCCGCCCATCTCCGCTCGGGCCAGGTAGTGCAGCGCCAGCCGTCGCGAGGCCAAAGTGTCTGGGCCCCCCGGCTCGCTCTCGCACCGTCCGATGGCGCCCTGCGACGGTCGGCGCCGGCCAAAGTGCACCAGCCCCTGCACCTCCAGCGGCCTGCTCAGCGCCCTCGCCCCCAGCAGCGCCGCCTGCGCCAGCCATGCGACGACATAGACGCTGAAGCTGTTGCCCAGGAGGAAGGCCCGCGCGTCGCTGCAGTCACGCTCGTTCGAGCCCCTCGCGGCCACGGACGCGCAGTTCACATCGAAGCCGAGCATCCTCTCTCTATCCGAGCTGGGGGGGGGGGGGGGGGGGGCGAGGAACAGGCCCCGCGGCGCTGTCCAGAAGCAAGTTTTTTTCCTCGCACAAGGCAACGCGATATCGGAACGAGTCTGCCCCCCGCCGGGCGCGCGCCGCCGCCGAGGCCCGCTGCAGCCCCCGCGGGGCCGAAACTTCGGCAGCGGCCTGCAGCGCGCCGGCGTCGGGAACAGGCCTGGAACGCTCAGCCAGCGGACTCCCTCGCCCTGCCGAGCCAGCTCGCAGAGGGGGGCCCTCGGCGCGCCTCGCGGCACCCGCCCCTCACGACCGCGGAGAGCGGGGCGGCGGCGCGCGGCCCCCAGCTCATCCAGCACAGCCTGGGACGTCGGCAGGGCACGAGGACAAACGAACACACGAGGAGGGGCTCGACGCCGAAGGCTCCGCTGATCTCAGTCCGGCGCGCCCCCCGTCATGCTCGCGAAGTTCTCGACGAACCACTTCAGCCCGTGGCCGAACGCCGCTCTGAGGAGCACCAGCAAGCGGGGCGCATCGTAGAACAGGCTGGACTTCGCGCCGCGCAAGCCCGCGCCCGACGCGTTCAGCCTGGCCAGGTAAAGGCAGGGGCTGCCCGCGGCCGCCGCGAAGATGCCGACCTCGTCGCAGTAGGCGCCCCGCAGCTCGTTCACGACAGCGGCCGTCACTCGCGCCACGTCGCCACAGTCGATCGCGCCTGGCCTGCGCAGGCGCGCCACCCTGCGCGCCTCGGCGTCCGCCCCCGCCGCGACGTAGCCCACGGCCCGCACAGGCAAGCGCAGGAAAGCCACCTCCGAGCCCCCAATCCCGTCGAACAGGCCAACGAGGAGCACCTTGGGCGCCCTCAGAACCACGGCCCGCGGGACGAGGGGGTTGGTGACCGCCCAGGGCTCCGAGGGCTCTGCGGGCAGCTGCAGCACGCGAGCCCCCAGGTGCATCTGCTCGTCCAGCGTCGAGGCGCTGCAGAGGCTGGCCTCCGCCTCGGCCCGGAGGCCCACCGACGCGCGGGCGCCCCCGCCGGACTCGGACGCGCCCGAGACCGCGGCCATGCCCTCGATCTTGGCCAGCAGCGAGGTCGCGGCCATCGGCATCACCAGCATGGCGGCCAGCAGCTCCTCGAGCATCGCCGCCTAGAACCTCGCGTTGCCACGCTGCGAGCTCAGTCCCCAGACCTCGCCGAGCACGCTGAAGAAGGGCCTCCGAAACTCGAAGAGCCCAACGAAGCGCCCGAGGATCGTCATCGCGAGCCGCCACGGCACGGCCTCGAGCCTGAAGGAAGCCAGGCACAGCGCGATCGCCTCGAGCGACTTGGCCAAGGGGGCGGCCAGTCGGCCCGACTCGCCGTCGACGTCGGCCCCCACGCCCTCGACACGAAGCTGCCTGCAGCGAGCCTTCTCCGCCGAGTAGGCGACGCCAGCCCTGTCGTAGCTGGCTCGCGCTCTGACCTGCATCTCCGCCAGCAACCCTATCAGGCGCCTGGCGCGCACCTCCTCCACGATCTCGGGCGCGTCGAAGTCGTCGATGTAGACCTGCCGCCATGCTGCGCCCCGTTCCTCCGCAGTAGCGGCGACGGGCCGCGGCGCGCCCTTGCGCCACTCCGCCTGCGGGGGCAGCCCCGCGCCCAGCGGCGGCGGCAGGCGGCGCAGCGTGGATGCGCTGGTACACGGGGGCCGCCAGAGACCAGCCCATCGCGATCACCGCCGACGCGAGGCACACCTCTGGCTCCTGCCGCCCGAAGAGCGAGCCCGCCAGGGGCCGCCCCACCGCCGTGCAGCGGCGCCGTGCGCGGGGCGCCCGTCACACAGAGAAGGCCCCCTTCTGGTCGTCGCCCGACCACAGGAACAGCTTCCCCTGGAGATGCGCAGCGACACCCAGCTCGTGGATCCAGCAAGCATGGCCGCCTCCCCCACGATGGGCTCGATGAGCGCGTTGCCCGGCGCCATGTTCAGGCTGGGCCTCGCGACGCGGCTGGCCCCGGGCCCAGGCGCGCCCTTCTTCTCCACGGCGAAGAGCCCGTTCAGCAGAGGCTCGCCGCGGACGTGGACCAGCTCCTCGGCGGGAAGCACGGTGAAGACCCCGAGGTCCACGCGGTGCATCGCCAGGGCCCCCCATTCGAACTGCGAGCCGACGTTGGCCCGCGCCTTCGAGGAGGGCCAGGGAAGTCCGCCTCCGCCTTGAGGGCCGGCGCGGGGTCGGCCAGCCAGCGCGCCGCCTCGTCGTCAACGAAGTCGATCGCGTTCAGGGTCGCCGCGTGCCCTCTCTTCGGCAAGCCCGGGGCCAGCTCCGCGAGGACGCAAGGGGGCGCGCGCGTCAGGGGCCCCCCGCTGCAGTCCACTGACGAGGTCGCGACCGCGTCGGCCAAAGAGGCGACGAACACGATGTCGAAGGGCTGCTGGGCAAACTCCGCCGCCCGCGAGCGGACGCGCCGCATGGCCGTCTCCTGCGCCAGCGTCAGCGCCGCCCCGAGTCGGAGCGACTCCCGAGCGACCCCGCAGCACATGCGGTTGAGGCCCAGCACGCTCATGTAGGTCCACGCCTCCGCCGCGACCGCCCTGCCCTGAGGTTCTAAACCTATAAGAATTAAAGGTGCGCCTTACAACTGCAAAAAAATACAGATATGGCGGCAACTGCAAAACATGCAGATATGATCATGTTGTCAATGATGGACACAACGCCAACATATATTAAATATATATATATATGTTGCAACTGCAAAAAACAGATATGATGACACATGCAAAAAACATATAGTATAACATGTATCTTGTATTAACATATATATATATATATTGGATTAACAGATATATCTTGGATTAACATATATATATATATATATATTGGATTAACAGATATACCTTGACCATGTCCATGCATGTAACTACGAATGTCCGCGGCGCTAAGGTGGTAGGAATGTCCGCGGCGCTAAGACGGGAGCTACATTTTGAAAACTATCATTTTTCCAAACGTTCAGTTCAGTGAGTGTTGTAATCTGGGATGCCATCCGTCAGCCAGAAAGTCGACGGCTTCAATTCTGCAGAGAAGTGCAGTCCGCGGGTGCTCCCACGCTTGCGGGCACCGCGCAACATTAAAAAAGTGAGGTCGCATAGCATAGCGTGGCGCGTGATCGGCATTCATCGGCGCTGCCGTCGCGCACTGGTTCCCATTCTAGGTCGTGAAGGTGCTAGAGCCCGCTGCGCGCGCGAAATATTAATCTCGCGCGCGCGCAGAGCACTCTAAACAGTTCGGAAGTAAACATTAAATTAATTAAATAGGGTGGGGGAGGGAGGGGAGTAGTATTCATCGGGTAGGTCGCAGTTCTGAGTTTAGAGTGGATCTGAACGTGAATGAGTCTGCGTGCTGACGTTGGCGGGTTTGAACGGGCCTGAGGGCGTCGAGTGCGCGCCTGGACGTGAGCGGGTCAGAGTGTGAGCGAGTCCGAGTGCGAGCGCATTCTGCGATGAGTTTCCGATGAGTTTCCGATGAGTTTTGATGAGTTTCGGGGCGGTGCGTAGTCGTCGCGATGCTATGCTATGCAATGCGGTGTAGGCTAGTGCCGAGCCCAGTGGAGCCCCCGTCCAGCGTCCTCCCGCATCCGTTCTGGCCCAAGCCTTTCGCGCGACCAGCAGCAGGTTCGCGCGCGACGAGAACCAGCAGCACCTCGCGCAGCACCAGCGCAACCACCAGCGCAGCACCAGCGCAACCAGCAGCACCGCGCGCAGCACCAGCGCAATGGCGGCTTGGATTCGGCAGGAGGACCAGAAAATGATGAAGGTGCCAATCTTCACACACGAGTGGGGCAATCAGGGCAGCTGGTTCCCGCTCTACGTGAGAACGATGACGACGGGCTCGTACGCTGGCGAGTTCCCGACGGTCGAGGAGACCAAGAAGGAGGCTAAGCGCTCGCTCAGCTTCATTGACGAGGGCGGCAATATCGACTTCTGGTTGGTGAAGATGCCCCGCCCAGGGGATGCTATGCCACATGTTCCCGAGCTGTGCCACAAATACCCGCTCAGCGACGACTGGATCATCAGCGACAGGCCGGCGCTCGTGATGAACGTCACGTATCCACTTTCTTGCAATTTTGAACAGAACGAGCAGAGCAGCACGGGCGGGCCCACTGATGGCCAGCAGGCGACGGCGGACCAGCAGGCGACGGAGCCACCCACAGTGGGCAAGCCAGCGACGGAGGACGAGGGCTACAACCAAGGGCGGTGCCAGCAGCAGAGCAGTATCGAAATTTCGACGCCAGCGAGCGACGCCAGCATCAAGGACTGGGTGGCGTCGAAGGCCTTCAAGACGAATATGACGTTGGGCGAGATCGATGGCTTGAACGTCGACGACATCTACAAGATCGGCTACGCGGCGGGGCTCCAGGCGAAGCAGGCTCAGAAGGACCAGCGCAGCAGCCAGCAGGGCCAGGACGCTGAGGCCAATACGCAGTCCCTGGACAGCGCGGCGTCGTGGCAGGACGCAGGCGAGCAGTACCGCTAAGTGGCCGTAGACGGCGTGAACGCCAGCGCCTACAGCGCCTCCAGCGCCTACGCCAGCGCATGCGCCAGCGCCTACATCAGCGCCTACACCGGCACCTTCAGCGCGAACGCCAGCGCCGACGCCAGCGCCTACACCAGCGATGCGGTATTCGTGGGCGCCTGGCAGCGCTCGTTTTCGCCTCGGCTTGCCCGAGGCGCCTCGGCCCGCCCGATACTTATAAGCGTGTTCGGTTTCACGGCCACTGGGAAAACTTTCGTCCCGATTCAAATGGGTTGCGCTACGCGTGTCCGCCGACACCCCTATTGCGACGATGGTGGAGGTTTCGGTTGACGTCCGATGAATTTCCGATGAGTTTCCGATGAGTTTCGATGAGTTTCCGATGCTCGTGCCTGAGTGTGAGCGGGCCTGAACATGGGCGAGTCCCAATGTGAGTGGATATACATTCGAGCGGTCTGAACTGAGTGTGAGTGAGCCCGAGTGTGAGTAGGTCTGGACCTGGGCGGCCCCGAGCGCGCGTGAATCTGATTCTCGTCGCCGAGTCCATGGGCCCAGGGGCGCATCAGAGTTGTTTTCAGCCCCGCGCCAGCTTTCGAGACGGTGGTCGCACCCGAGCACGCGGGGGCGGCGCAAGGAAAGGGTCGCAGGTGGAGGGAGATGTGTTTGGACTTGTGCGGGGGTCGAATGCGGTGGCAACGGGGGCTCCCCTGCCCAGCATTCCAAACGCGTCTTCCCCCACCCGCGACCCGTTCCACGCGCCGTTTGCTCCTAGGGCGGGGCGCTATGGCTCGAGGCGGCGTCGCCTCCACCCAGCCCCTGGTTCGGTGAGAAATCTGGCATCTCATGTTCGAGAGCTCGAACGAAGCCAAGTAATTCTGACTCTAATTCGGGCCCCCACTTCCTAATCAGCTCAGCGTGGGAATCATCGATTGCGTCCCAAACCAAACCGTCTATGCCTTCTCGGGTACGGTGCCATTCGATATGTTCGGCCATGTGCTCACGTTCGGCATAGTCGTGCATTTGCATAGCAGTCCACCTGGCCCTCTCCTCGGGACTGAGCAAGATTGGAACCCCGTCGATGATGTCAAAATGAGCCGTGCCACCGTGCACTGTGGCCCCTGGTAGCGGGTACGACGGGCGGCGCAGTAGAGCAGGGCGGGGGCGATATAGTGTTGTTGTCTCCTATGGGGTCACGTCGTCGTCGTCGCCGTCGTGATCGTGATCGTGGTCGTCGTTATTAGTCATCAGTTTCCTGTTCGGTCAGCGGCCGCGAGCGAGTCACCTCGAAGCGATCGACCCAGAGCAGGTGCCACGCGTCACACGCCCATCTAAAGCTAATCTTAGCCCCTGGCTGGGGCTGCGGGCCCTCCGACCTGGGGCTGCGTCGGGGGGGAGGTCTCCGAGCGTTCCCGCTTCATTGGGCCTGGGCTTGAAACAGCGATGGGGCGAGACAGATGGCGGGGCCGACAACGGGAACGATATGGAGGGCGAAGAGGAGGAGGAGGAGGAGAGGGAGGAGGAGGAGGAGGAGGAGGAGGCGGACGAGGATGAGGGAGATGAGGAGGATGAGGCGAGGAAGAGGAAAGTGGCGAGGTCGAGGAGGAAGAGGAGGAGAGGGCGGGGGGGAGATGGGGAGGACCGAGAGCTGGATCCACGGCCCGCCCCAAGCTGGCCGAGCGGGGGGGGGGCGTGCGTCTCTTCTCACCCTCTCCCCCGCTCACCCTCCCGAACGCCCCCGCCCCTCCCCCGTCACCCTCCCCCTTCCCCCATCCCCCTCCCCCTCGCATTCCTCATCCACCTTCTCCTGTTATCATCCTCCTCCTTCTCCAACAATTACTCAACATGAATGCTACTCTCCCATCTCGACCGTACCGCGCCGACGTCCGTCGCTCTGGTAGGAGTTTCGAACGCTGTCGATCGCCCCGTCGCCGCTCCAACGTGTCGGACCATTGGCCGTCGACGGAGTCAGCGCGCAAGCGCGTATTGAATCTCGAGTTGGAGGAGAGCTTGCGTTCGGTGAGACGCACTCGGTCGTGCACGGATGGCACGCTGTCTGCAGCACGCGGCCGCATCGGCGACGGATCGCACAGCGTGCACTCTCGGGCGGCGCAAGCACTAGTCCGACTCCGAGTCATTGACCAACACTGCCTCGAACACTGGATGCGGCAACTCGGCGGCTGCCGCGACCACCGCCACGAGCTCCTTCGCGAAGCCGTCGTAGAAGAACGTCCACCCGTTGAGCTCGTAGGTGCCGTCGCTCCACTTGACGACGCCCCTCCCGCACGAACTGACCTCGTCGATGTGGGTCAAGTCTGGAAGGGGGCACTCGCACAGAAGCCCGGCCATCTTGTCCTCGGCGATGTTCGAGCTCACCAGCGTCCTCTTGTTCGTAGAGATCCTCTGCCAATTGCCCTGGTAGGTCGTGGTGATGGCGGCGCGGCCCAGACGCAGGGCGCTGTTGACCGCTGGGCACTCGAAGAACGACTGGCAGTCGAACGGCATCACGACCATGAAGAACACATCCCTCACGACGCACATGGCGATGAAGTGCGCGACTGCGAGCGCCAGGTCGTTCGCCTCCATGCCTTCGGCCGATATCTTGCCATTGACGAGGTCGTCCCTCCCGTTGATGCGCAACATGTCGCCTGCCCACTCACGGGGCGGAGGGGCAATCACGGGCGTCCCCTTCGGCTTGATGCTCAGCACTATCCGACACGCAAAGGCCATGCCAGCGAGGGTGCAGACGTCCTCCGACTCGCCCCTTCCGTACTTGTCGAACTCTGGGCACTGGAGGCCAGCCCGTCTCATCCAGCGCGCGAGCCTGCCGCTTCCGCTGAACATCTCCGCTGCGTCCATATAGCGAGGGCACGACCAGAACTCCCGTGTCAGCGCCTCAGCCGCCCTGATGATCTCTCCCTGCGATGCGCTGTCGGAGAGACCAGCTTGCACCGCCATCGCCTCGAACGAACATGGGACGCCAACCGCGGTGGACGCGGCGCCAGGCCTCTTCAT